GAACAAGGACTGATCCAGAGATGGAGAGGCATTGATTGGACTGTCGGGCTTTGGCGGGAGGGTAGGGGAGGGTGGGCGTAAAGGGGAAAGAGCAACCAAAGGACTTACATGCAGGCATAGAGGCCTAACCAATGGACACGGACAACGGGGGGGGTGGGGGTGGAGGGTGATGTGGGGACAGGGACACAATGTAATATCTTAATCAATAAAAAATATATTAAAAAAACAAGTACTTATTGAGGGCTAAATATAAGAACTGTGCTAAGTGTAAAGATGCAAAGATGACATAATTACAGTTTCTGTCCTGAGACATAGAAACATAACACTACAATACCAAAACATATCTACTGGGCATCAACAGGGAACCAAGAGCAGGTTACTATATAAACCAAATACCCCCAAAGTTCCAAGGTCCAAGCATCTAAGTATGCAAAATAACTGAGGAAGGATAGCAGAAAGGATGGCTCACTCAACCCTCATTCCAATTCTCCTTCTCCTCGCCTTCCTCCAAAATAGAGGCTGGAAAGTGAAAGTGGTTTTTATCTCCTAGAGAAAGTGATGTGACACACTTCGGCCAATGAGATGTAGATGGAAGTCCACTGAGCAGGCATCCCTTTTGAAAGAAAAAGACAAAGCTCCCCATGAAGGAAGGTCTCTAAGCTCCCTTCTTCCTGCTACAAAATAAACACACTTTCTACAGGGACAAAAAAAAAAAAGTCATCTGTGAATTAAGAAGCAAAAGTTACATGCTAAGGATGGTGGAGAAAGATGCTGTTACCTGGATCTCTGAAGGCATCAGTCACCTGTAAACTAACTGCCTACGGGGTTCTTCTGACATGAAACAATAAAACCCTTACGCATTTAAGTCAGAGTAGATTTTCTATGCGCCAGAGGCATTTTTACCATTAAAGGAAAGCGATTGAGAAGAGGAGATCTTTGAGTTACACTAGCCATGTCTCTTCCTTCTTTGATGTAGGCTGTAATGCAGTCTTTTTTAGCCAGAAGAAATAAAAACAATTTTGAATTTTCATGCCACAATTATCCTACAATTTTCAGTCATCTAGATTACTTCAATAAACATGTTCCAATTTCTCTGTGGAAACCCATTTCTTGCATAGTCATTATAAGACTTTTATTTCTTTTCCTAACTGAAACCTTCAATCAGCCAAACCTATAAAATAACATTTTTATAGTATGGCATTGGCATAGATAATTCATATATGTAATATAACATACAAATAAATAGCTGAACTTCGGAAAAAAAGGGATATGAAAACAGAATGGAAAGAGGAAAGAAAGGGAAAAAACCAGCTTATTTGAAAGTATAAATGTTTTTTCAGTTTTGTGAGCACTTTATAAAGCAGCTGTATAATAAATGAAGAACCCCAAGATAACAATATTTTTTAATAGAAAGACTCCCCCAACTTGAAATTAGCAATTCTGCTTATGAAAATTTTTCAGAGGTAAAAAATATATAGCCAACAAATATATAGCGTCCAACTCACCACTAGCGTTATTAAATTATTATAATATCCCACCTATCTCTAGTAAACTCCCTAAAGTAATAATGTTTCTTTATATAAGTTTCTGTTGGACATATTTTGAATGTGTAGGATTCTTGGGATAGTTTCTACAGTACAGTGCTGAAAAGATTCATTAATTTCAATCACCATCAACTCCCTACGCCACATCTACTTTTTCTGCCTTTTTGTTCAAATATATTTCACTGTGGCCATTCAGAGGAAAATTACACATTCCAATAACATTTGAGTTCCTCTCAGTTGCACTTTCAGTGGTTCGAGGTAATGACAGAGTAAAGAAACGTATTCTTTACAGGCTCTCCTTTTTTTTTTTTCATTTTTCATTTGGTAGCATTTCAGCTTCAAATCTCTTGTGCCAGAAAAGCAATGGGCAATGTCTACTGCTCACCCTAACAGTGTCTTACTTTGGAGAGAAGGGGAGTGAGAGAAGAAATCACTCCCAATCTCACTTCTTAAAGAGACTCAGCACATGGAATAAACAATTTCTTTGCTTATTTTCCTAAAATAGAATTATGGAACCATAATTAGTGGGGAGGGGGGGGGAGCGAAGGGGGAATAGAATTAGAAAATTTTCAACCATCTTTGAGTGTGAATAGGGGCTAAAGGGGTGAAATTATTGAAAGTCCCAGCCCTAAATTCTCACTGAAATCAGTAAAAATATAAAAAAGTCCTATATATTCATAAAACCTGGGGTTTATATATTCCTTGGCATTGTTCATAGGTAGAGGCTTCCTCTGTGAACTAGACAAATGCCACACTCTCTTATCCATGAGACTGACAGAATGGGATGAAGAAGGATAATAAGTATAGTTAGGTAACATAAACGCCTCATTTTAAAACCAGTATTCAAAGACACCCTACAGTAATCCATAGGAACTCAAAAGAATATTCTGAGAATGACAAGGCTCCTTTGTTTATATCATCTCAACTTCAATTTCATCTGCAGTTGTCTCCTTTCAAACACACATTTCTAGGGCCCTTACATGCTATGAAGTCCTTTTTCTCAGGCCCATTTTCGTCTGGTTATCTTTTTAGGTGCACTAAAGATTGAGTTTACAATAAACTGAACAGACAGCGTACAGAAAGCTTTTAGAACTATACCATATGGTCCAGGGAAGGGAACAATCTGGACGATCCCCATTTCAGTCTGCAAGCTCGTCCACCTCTATAACACATTGTACCACTGTAATAAAATATTAAGATGGAAACGTAAAAGTGAAAATAGTCTATCTTTAGCATTACCAGGCAACCGAAAATTTACCGATAAACTTAATAAACATTTACTTTAATTTATATTCTGCAACACCAGGCATACAAACCTAGGCCACTATTCACTAAAAACAATATTTCGGCAGGGATGTGTGTGGGTATTCAACTTATGCTTCAGAAATTTGGAAGGGAAAAAAAACCAAAATACTTTTACAAGGGGCATATTGGCAGGAGCTGATGTAACAGATGACACATTCTTGGAAATCAAATAAAAGCAATAGGGAAATACCCATTGTTGCCTGGTGAAGGCCTAATCACATGGACACAGCTGGAACCAATGTAGATCACTCATTAATAAAATGGCATTGTAGTAGCCACTTTTTGATGCATTTCTCTTGCTGCTGTAGCCAAATCTCTGAATCTCTTTGTTTGGTGTTAGTAATGCTGTTTTACTGGGAAATACAAGATTTAGGAGAGTGTGTGTGTGTGGGGGGGGGGACCTGCTCTCATGCTGAAAAGGAGACTAGCTCAAAAAGCTAAGTGTCACTTTACCTTGCAATCAACTTACACTCTCAGCAGCTTAAAATATGCAGCGTAAACCTGAAAAGGAGGAACTCGTATGGTACTATGGATAAAAAGTGAGCAGCGTGAGATGCCACAGAAAACATATGAAATATTTGTGAAAGCATTCTACAGAATGATAATATAGATGGCAGGCAGGGGAAATTAAAATGTATCAAAAATGGGAGGGGGAATCAAACATACACCTTTCATGCAGTACTGTCTATGGAATTTTAACACTGAAGTGTGTACCATATGTGTGAGAGGGGATTACGAATAGTTTTGACCACAGAAACTTAGAAATCACTATTTGTTATTATGTTACCAATATTCGATATCAAACAAGATACTCAAATCACCTACCCAGGACTGTTTTAAATATGTACTGATATTGAAATAAAATTACATATTAGTTAAAATATTAGTTATAATTATAAACATGATAGGTAATGTAACAGAATAAAATCCTAGTTAATAGAATAAGTTTAGTATTTATCCAACTTTGCTGTCAGCCCTTAATAAATTTACTTTTCCATGTTTCTACAAATATAGTGATTAAGTGACTGTATCATAAACCCTATTGTATAATATCAAACTATAACAATATAATTACTTTGATATGTGTACAGAATTAAACAAAAATGTAGAATTTATTACATACAAAAATGAAAAACTCAATAATATTTACAAAAAAAACTGCTCAAACATTACAGGTCTTCAATATATTTCTACAATGCTTCTGTGTATAATTAGAATAAACAAATAAATAGGAAAATTCATGCTGAAATCCCTAAGTCACTGAAAGATATATTCCTGCCACAGAAAAGATAAAGGGCTTCCCTGCAAATAAAAATTATACCACTGGAGAAAATGTATTTATAATAAATAAATAGTACTTAATATAAAATAAACATTATTCTACTTATGTGAACATAAAGGATGAAAGAATTTTTGGTCTGTATTATCTTTAACCACCAATACTAATATTATCAGACCTTGGTACACAGGATTCAAGACAGTCATGCACTTAACTGCACCAAGAAAAAAGAAAAAAACAGTTTCACTGGCATTCCTTCTAAAACATGTTATAATTCTAAAACTTAAAATGTTGACCTAAAGATTTAATTGATGTAACTTAAAAGGATCTCACCTAGAATCATTTCAGCTGCGCTACAGAAAGTCACTGGGGAATGGGTAAGTGTAGCATTTATTACAGGTGCATCATATACAAAGCAATTTGTTTGTTTTGTTAAACTAATAAGCCAATATGTTGCTGAATCTGTCTTGAGAATGAGAGAAAATAACAGGTGAGTTTATTTAATGCATACATCTGATATACCTGTTTTTCAAACCCTTTAAGGATGTTAAAGCATTTTCTAAATTAAAAATAAATCTCTGGAAAAGCAACTGTTAAATTGCATAAGTTTATGTTCACATATTATATAGAAATAGTATTTCCCAGTATATATTGCATATAAAAGTGTTTCACATTAATAAGTCTAACATGAAGTACTATTTGCTTTCTTTTCAATCACGTTTGTTGCACTGCTACAAAAATACATGAGTTTTTCCTCCCAAAATCATTGACAAATTTTAAAAATATAAGTCAGTCAAAATAATATCAATCTCCTCCTAAGAAAACATATTCTGCCTATTTAATTATTCTTATCGTGATGGTAAAACACTACTTTTTAAAGTAGATCACTTGAAAATAAATCATTTATTTTTGCTTAATACAACAGAAAACATTTACATTTTGAGGAACATTCTATGAAATGCCATAGAATGCTTGCTCATAGTGAAAATTTAGTTTCCTGCGCAAACCATCACCTAAAATCATAATGCTACATTTCCACACACCTTGTAATAGTAGGTCACTAACTATCATTCAGAGAAAGCTATTATTGGGAAAGCTGAAAATACTTCTGTTTTATCTTGCATTTTGATTTTTTTAAAATTGTCATGCACACCCTTATTTTTAATGGAAGTGTACCTGGTTATCTAGCAACAGTTATCAGGCATTCTAAAGGTGAGTATTCAATTTGTAAAAGATAAACTACCCTGAATTTTAGACAGAAATAGAAAACGATGGCAGACATTGTGGTCTCAAGAAGAGACAGCTTGGCATTAAAGTCCATACAACACAAGGGATGATCATTCAGGGGTTTCTGTTCAACAACTAAGCTGTGAAGCAAGATAGGATTCCACTCAAGCAAAATTACTATGTCAGAATGGCCAAAGTTAGGAGGGTTTGCTGAAAACGGTGGCCAAAATGCAAGTGGGAAGGAAACCTCTGAGAGCTGGAAAAGGCGAACCTAGCACAGGCTTCTGTAAGGAACAATGCCGCTCACTAACTGCGGAGGTTGGCAGGAGAATGATGATTCTATTGTGTTCATGCCGGTGGTCTTTGTGAAGAAAGAGGAAGGCAAGGGGGAAGAAATGGTGCCGGTAGGAAGAAGGAAGGCGGCATGCCTGCCTCCGGTGCCGCTGGAAGGGGAGACCTCTGCCGAACGAACACACCGCCAGAACCAAGCTACACAAAACACGTTGGCTGCCATCCTAGAACAGCGCCAGGCCGGTTTTTCTTTCTGTGCTAGGCTCCCTCCATCGAGGCAGTGTGGGATTGTCACTTCGATGCATGTAGAAAACAAAGAATAATAGTGGAGGGGGGACTTTTTTGCCCCTTTAAAGTTAGGTTAGCATTTTGGTTTCTTTGACAGGTTTTGAAAAGATCCAAGAAACAACAGTTATGCTGAAGAATGGATCAATAGCCTAAAAAAATTAGTGTGAGTACAATATTGTCAACAGTTTCAAAGCCATGTGAGAGATTAACATTTGAACAAATCAGACTTAAAAGGGGTCCAAGTCACATATGTACAGGTTTAAGAGGCTAGAGACCAAGAAATACATAATCATATGATTCATAATCATATAATCTTACTTAAATTCTAATATTATAAAATCTGCCCCCCCCCAAAAAAAGAACTAATATAAGTATTATAATTATAGGTCACTATTCAGAGACAACTATGTCAGCTGCTATCTTACCCTGATTTCTCCAGAATGAAATAATCTGATTAAAAGATTATAACATTGGAATCTGAATATTTTATGCCTTTACAAGGAAAGAGGTGATAAATGATCAAAAATGTTTAAAGGATTAAACCACAAATCATCTACAAAGTTGCCACAGACACAAACAGGAAAACCGTCTCTTGTCTCCTATTCAATTCTGTACTAGAGTCAAAGCTAACACAAATGAGAAAGCCAAGTATCTGCTGTTGCAAACTTCAACTAAATACACTGCCTGAATCTGGTGACTAAAACAGCAATAAGCCATTAGCTCCTAGAGCGGTGGTTCTCAACCTGTGTGTCAAAACCCCTTTGGGGGTCCAACGACCCTTTCACAGGGGTCGCCTAAGACCATCCTGCGTATCAGATATTTACATTACGATTCATAACAGTAGCAACATTACACTTATGAAGTAGCAACGAAAATAATTTTATGGTTGGGTCACAACATGAGGAACTGTATTTAACGGGCCAGAAGGTTGAGAACCACGGTAATGCAGCGTTCATGAAAAGCACCAAAGGCCTACGAGTCTCTTCCTCCTGCACATCTCCACGGAATCCCCTGTTAAAAGAACAGCAAGAACTACACTACTTGCCTCAGATGTTCCACATGGAGACATGGAGCTTACCTAATTTGACAAGATGGTCCCCTGCCCAGTTTTGTTCATGGCCACAGATTCTAAATAGCAAGTCACATCCGTGTTGGGAAAAGCGATAGGGGAAGGAGAGAGAGGAAGAAACCAAGAGAGACTAGTGGCCAAATTTCAAACAATGTACATGCTTCTGTTGTTATGCAAATTAGTGCCCCTACACAACACTTTGGGAGGACAAAATGTGTGGTAAAAGTACAATGCCTTACTCTGAGTGGCAAGGGTAAGTCTAACATATAATCAAAGAATGCATGATTTTGCTCTCACTGTTCTCCTTTTACAGTTCCTTTCTTTCCTCTAGGATACACTGCTGATGCTATGACCACGTGGGACACTGGTAGTTGTAGGCGAGGCATTCATGGATTGCCAAAGTGGTCCAGAGAATGATGTCTGGTTGGCTTTAGTTCAACAAGGAATATGAGGCAAAACTAGGGAGCAAAAAGAATGAAAGGTATAGAAGAAGGTAGCCCATAGCCTGTTTTTTCTGTTTATTAGTGATGCAGATTGAAATGGGGGGAAATCTACAAAAAGCAGCCAAGAGACTGAATTAGAAAGAAAGATGAAAGGAGTTAAATGTGTGTAACTTGGCTGACAACCAAGGAACAATATGAGAGCTGTCCACAACTCTCCAAAGTATAGACATAAAAAAAGAAGAGTGGGGAATTTTTATCTACAATGGAAGTGTGACTATATGAAATAATGAGATCAAATAAAAATTAAAAAAGTCTGATTTCAAGCAGCACAGGAAGTAACCTGGTAAAACTTAAGAAAAGCTGCTTCCTTCTCTTTAGAAAAATTTACCATCTTCCTGACCTGCATGGAAGTGAGGGGTGAATGAGAGGGAATAAGCACAGACTGCCAGAGAGGCCTGGACTGATGGAGAAATGGAAGTGAAGTCCCATTTGCTTACCTGATGATCCAGATATACTGGTGTCTTTCTCTGCATATGTCCAACCTGGCTAGTGCAGAGGTACCTGTGAGATCATGAAGGGCACAGGTAAGTTGTTATCTTCCAAATAAACTCAGCCTGAATTCTGAGTCCTGACCCACACAAGTGCTCACATGAGTGAGCCAGCAGTCTGAGTCCTGGGTATTCCAAGATGGGACAAGAACCTCCAAAAACAGAAATGTTCTGAGTCTTAAGCAATAAGAGCTTTTTTCAGTCATAAGGATTTTCCCAAGTCAATGATAATGTAAAAATATAATAATAATTCAGAGTAGAGGTTATAAACCATGGTACATGGATGGCCTATATGCTCCCGAATGATATGTGTAAAATGTGTGGGTTTGTGTAAATGGATATCTCTCTGGAGAGAAGGTGAATAGTTTGTCAGATTTACAAAAAGGTCCATAATCCAAAGTACTATCAAGAACCTTTGCTGAGGATGGCCTGAAATCTCAGAGGCAGGCTGAAAAGCATATGAATAATTAGTCCAAGATTGGGGTTTGCACTCCAGGGGAAAAATGGGGGTACACAGATACTTGTAGATCTGGGGTAAATACCTTAAAAACATCACTTTCTGGGAGAACATTCCATCAGCTTTAAACTATCACTTAACTTACAGAGCCCTGTATTCTCAGTTGTGCACAGTGAAGAGAAAAGATGCTACCATATACTCAGGGGTGGATACTGTGACTTTCCTGTTCTGTAAATATTGAAGTCAGAGAACCCTTAAGAATATGAATATTGACAAGGTCAGAACTAACATAGTAACTCAGCCATAAAGGAGCCTTTATGACAAGCAAAGAGGAGGACCCAGCAAAGCAGAAAGAAACGTGTCGCCCAGTTTACATAGCACCAAATCACAGGATGACCTAACACACCTTTGACAATAATAATTGTAAGCAGTAGCCATAGACTCAGAATAACCCACATTAGAAAGAAACCAGGTCAGAGAACCTTCCAGGCACCAACTCTGAAAAAGACAGGAAAGCATTCACAGCAACAGGGAGAATCCTGAGTGTCATCTTTGAAAAAGGTTAAGAGAGAGAGAAAGGCCAGGAAGACATAAATCAAGTGACGGGGCGGCCTTCTGAGATGGCCTGTTTGAAATAATGATGTAGTACAAACATGTCAAACTCAAAGGCTTATGCGGGCCAAATAAATGAGGTGTGCGGCCCACGGGCCGGGAGTTTGACATGCTTGATGTATTATCTATATATATAAAAGCCCATATATATATACAGTGCACCCCCACAGCAGGAGTGTTGCTCAGCCAGAAGCCGGACTCACGGCTGGCGAGCATAGCTGCGGCCGCGGGATGAGCAGAGCAGCACAGGCTCCTCCCTGGCCACCTGCTGCTTTGCACACTACTACATCCCTTGAGGGAATTTCAGACTGCCAGTTTCGACCTGATCCCTCGAGGGGGTCTGGGATTGCGAGAGGGCACAGGCCAGACTGAGGGACCCCACCGGTGCATGAATTCATAGGCATTGTAGTCAGTGCTGGGGATTCAGCAGAGAACAAGACACAGTTTGCTCCTGGGAGGGGAGGGGAGGAAGGATGCAGGGAGATTAGTATATCAGCAATATTATTTCAGTTATGATACATGAAATAGAGGAAGTAAACAAGATGATCTGACTGAGGCATGGGAGCATGGCCTACATCTATCTAGTACATCACAGTGATGCTCACTCCAATTCTCAAAGTTAGTCAGGATCTTAGCGAATTGAGACAGAAAAGACCCTTGGGAAAGCTAGGCAAACCTCTTCAGTTCAGAAATGAGGACAAAGTATCACAACCTCATTATCTCCAAACATCAAGATACGTACACCTGGGCTGAGTCATGACTTTATGATACGTGCTCTGCCTGTAGAAGAGAAGCCCAAGAACAAGTAACAGAACAGCATTTCTGTTCTGTTTTTATAAACTGGCCAAGGATATGACGCACTCTGTACCCTTTACAGTTAACACGGAATCACATTCTATCCAAATTCCTGGCAAGTTCCATTCTGTTAAAAGAATTTTGTTTTTTGCTTCTACAGACAAATCTGATCAATGTGTGCTATCAAAGAAAGGTGAGAGGAAGCGGGAGGCATGGGAACCAGTCTCCAAGAGGGCCCCCAAATCCTCACCTCGTGCAATTCATGCCTGTGCAGTCCCCTCTCTCACTGTATCAGGGTTGGTTTGAAGGAA